AAAAAAAAAAAAAAAAAAAAACGCTGGGCATAGTGGCTCACACCTGTAATCCCAGCACTTTGGGAGGCCGAGGCGGGTGGATCACCTGAGTTCCTGGTCCCAAAGTGTCTGGCCAACATGGTGAAACCCCATGTCTACTAAAAATACAAAACATTAGCTGGGCGTGGTGGCACATGCCTGTAATCCCAGCTATTCAGGAGGCTGAGTCAGGAGAATCACTTGAACCTAAGAGGCCGAGGTTTCAGTGAGCCGAGATCACACCATTGCACTCCAGTCTGGGCAATAAGAGCAAAACTCCATTTCAAAAACAAACAAACAAAAAAAACCACTCAACCCAGAATTCTATATCCAGTGCAAACATACTTAAAGAACAAAGGCAAAATACAAACATCCTCAAATGAAGCAAACCTAAGACATATATTTCTTGCCAGCAGGCCTGCCTGAAAAGAAATGCCAAAGGAAACTCTCGGTAGAAGGGAAATGATGCCATAGGGAAAGCGGGAACTTTGGGAATTAAATGATAGAGATTGCACAAATATTTTATCTTTAAAATATAGATGGAGGCGGCTGGGCGTGATGGCTCACACCTGTAATCCTAGCACTTTGGGAGGCTAAGGTGCACGGATCACAAGGGCAGGAGATGGAGAGCATCCTGGCTAACCCAGTGAAACCCCATCTCTACTAAAAATACAAAAAAAAATTAGCCGGGCGTGGTGGCAGGCACCTGTAATCCCAGCTACTTGGGGGGCTGAGGCGGGAGAATGGCATGAACGCAGGAGGCAGAGCTTGCAGTGAGCCAAGATCACACCACTGCACTCCAGCCTGGGCGACAGAGCGAGACTGCGACTCAAAAAAAAAGAAAAATATGGCTGGAGGCCAGGTGCGGTGGCTTACACCTGTAATCCTAGCACTTTGGGAGGCTGAGGTGGACGGATCACTTGAGCTCAGGAGTCTGAGACCAGCATGGCGAAATCCTGTCTCTACTAAAGGTACAAAAATGAGCAGGCACCGTGGCTCATGCTAGTACTTTGGGAGGCTGAGGTGGGTGGATCACAAGGTCAGGAGTTCGAGACCAGACTGGCCAGCATGATGAAACCCCATCTCTACTAAAAATAAAAAGAAATTATCTGGGCATGCTGGTGGGTGCCAGCTACTCCAGAGGCTGAGGCAGGAGAACTGCTTGAACCTGTCAGGCAGAGGTTGCAGTGAGCCGAGATCACGCCACTGCACTCCAGCCTGGGCAACAGAGCGAGAGTCTGGGAGGAAAAAAAAACAAAACCAAAAGCAAACAAACAAAACTCAATAGTAAGAAAACAAACAGGCCGGGCACGGTAGCTCATGCCTGTAATCCCAACACTTTGGGAGGCCGAGGCAGGTGGATCACCTGAGGTCAGGAGTTGACGACCAGTCTGGCCAACATGGTGAAACCCCCTCTCCACTAAAAATACAAAAACCAGCCGGTGTGGTGGCACATGCCCGTAATCCCAGCTACTTGGGAGGCTGAGGGGTTGAATTGCTTGACCTGGGCGGTGGAAGTTGCAGTGAGCTGAGATCATGCCACTGCACCCCAGCCTGGGCGACACAGCAGGACTCCATCTCAAAAAAAAGAAAAGAAAAGAAAAAAGAAAACAACCCAATTTTGTAAAGTGCACAAAATACATAAACAGACATTTCATCAAAGACGCTATATAGACGGCAACTAAACACATGGGGAAAAAATGCTTAACATCATCAGCCATTAAGGAAATGAAAGGAAAACCACTATTAGATATGTCTACACACCTATTAGAATAGTTAAAATAAACTTTTTAAAACTAAGCTGGGGCCGGGCGTGGTGGCTCACACCTGTATCCCAGCACTTTGGGAGGCTGAGGCGGGTGGATCACCTGAGCTCAGGAGTTGGAGACCAGCCTGGCAAACCAGCAAGGTGAAACCCCATCTCTACTAAAAACACAAAAATTAGCTGGGTGTGGTCGTGGGTGCCTGTAAGCCCAGCTACTCAGGAGGCTGAGGCACGAGAATCACTTGAACCCAGGAGGTGGAGGTTGCAGTGAGCCAAAATCGCGCCATTGCACTCCAGCCTGGGCAACAAGAGCAAAACTCTGTCTCAAAAACAAATAAAGAAGAAAAGGTTTTAAAAATTGATAAACCACTAGCAAGAGAGAGAGAGAGAGGACACATCAGGCATGAGAGAAGTGACATCATCACAGACTGTGCAGACATTAAAATGCATAGGCATATTAGGAACTAGATATTACTAAGGCAGTAAACCAGACCACTAGCAAATTTGTTGAAAAACACAATTTATCAACTATTAGTTGATAATACTGATACGCATCTTCTGTGTGCCAGGACCTTGAGGCCCAGCTCCAGGCAGAAACTCAGCAGTGGTTGGGAAGGCATCAGATGTCAGATGGCGCAAAGGGGACTCAGAGCCCAGGGATAATGGGAAAGAACACAGAGGAATCCAGCCATTTCCACAGCGTCCAGCTCTGCTGTGGGAGGCTGGGAACAGCCTAGCACTACCACCCTGTGACTGGGAGGACAAGACCACAAAATGCAGCTTCCCTGAACTTCCTCTTGGTGATGAGGTTTATGTGGTCAAGGTAGAGGTGGGTACGTCTGGAACCTCAAGCAACCTGCCCATACCTGCTGGGACCAGGCCAAGGTGCCCAGTGAGTAAGAGGCAGCGTCCTGGAAGAGCACAGATGAAAGAGTCCCCGAGAAGCGTTGGTTGACCGGGTGCTGTGGCTCCCACCTGTAATCCCAACACTTTGGGAGGCTGAGGCAGGGGGATTACTTGAGCCCAAGAGTTCAAGACCACCTGGGCAACATAGTGAGACTCATCTCCACAAAAAATAAGTAATAGAAAGAAAAATGTGAGTTGGCCAGGAAAGGTGGCTCATGCCTGTAGTCCTAGCTACTCAGGAGGCTGAGGCGGGAGGATCACTTAAGGCCAGGAATTCAAGACAAGCTTGAGCAACATAGCTCTACAAAAAATAATAATTTCTAGATGTGGCAATGCATGCCCAGGCTCCCAGCTACTTGGGAGGCTGAGGCAGGAGGATCGCTTGAGCCTGGGAGATCGAGGCTGCAGGGAGCCCGACTGCACCACTGGGCTCCAGCCTGGGTGACAGAGTGAGACCCTGTCTCAAAAAAGAAAAGGAACCCATCCACTTTCAGGACACAGGATTCCAGCCCACTCAGCCCTGGGAGTCCAAGACATTTTAAACAAACTCTCTCTTCACATTTATTAATTCCTAGCAGGAAAGAGGGAGCGCCCTCCAGCCCCCCAGGGAGCCCAGCCTTCTGCTGCAACAGGACGGGTGGGAGCCAGTCCAGAATCCCCCGCACTTCTGAGGACACCAGCAGCACCCTGGGCCCGCGGCTGCATCAGCTTTCTAGACAAGGGGAGAAAAGAGAAGTGGAGGAGGAGGGAAAATCCTATACCCTCCTCCCTGCGGAAATCAAGGCCGACCTCCCTGACGCCCCCGGGAAGGAAGCGCGTGATGGGCTGCCAGCCGAGACCCCCATCTGCGCCTCCAGCTACAAAGCCTTTGCTGGGCGCTTCCTCGCCCGCGATTCCCCCACGAGCCCTGGGGAGACCCAGCGCTAACCACGGTGCCCAAGGGAGGAGCCGGGAGAGGCCCTCCTGGAGGTGGGCACAGCCCAGGCAAACGCCAGCGGACGGGACCCAGGGAAACGTCACCTGCCACCAGGAGCTCCACGGGGTCGCTGAGCTCCGACTCGAAGGTGTTGGGCCCCCAGGAGCGGTAGCGGCACCTGTAGCTGCCAGCGTGCTGGGGCCCCACGAAGGTCAGCTCCAGCTTTGCAGCGGCCTCGGGGGTGCGGACCGTGTCCACGGCCTTCGTCTCGCCCTCGCGCAGCAGCTCGAAGGTGACGTCGGGGATGGGGCCCTCGCAGCGCAGGACGGCGTCTCGGCCCGCCAGCACCGCCCCACTCCACGCCGCCCGGAGCTGAGGCCTGGGAGGGGGTCCTGGGCGGAGCGGGCGGGTGGTCGGGCCCGGCCACACCCCAGGCCGCGCCCGCACCTGCGCCTCAGCCCCGGCTTCATCTTCCCTCTGTCTCGTTCCTGAGCGCAGACGGCTCCTCCGGCCCCGCCGAGCTGCGCCCGCTGCCTTCACACCCTGGACATCCGCTTGACACCTCTGTGTCTGGTGTTCCCCGCACCCCTCCCCCGGGACCGTGGAAGTCCCAGATTCGGGCCTGCTCTGGGGTCTCTGGGGTCCCCAGCCTCGGTCACTGGGACGGGTGAAGGGAAAAAGAAATGATGGAGAAAACGGTGCTCCTTCAGGGAGGAACCAAAAAAGGACATACCATTTATGTCAATAGATGAGGTTTTTTCCCTCCGTAAGTTAAACTTAAATTTAAAAGTGTATTTAGGCCGGGCGCAGTGGCTCACACCTGTAATCCCAGCACTTTGGGAGACCGAGGCAGGCGGATTGCCTGAGCTCAGTTGGTCGAGACCAGCCTGGGCAACACGGTGAAACCCCGTCTCTACTAACATACAAAAAATTAGCCGGGCGTGGCAGCGTGCGCCTGTAATCCCAGCTACTCGGGAGGCAGAGGCAGGAAAATTGCTTGAACCTGGGAGGCGGAGGTTGCAGTGAGCCGAGATCGCGCCACTGCACTCCAGCCCAGGTGACAGAGTGAAACTCCATCTCAGAAAAAGGATCAACTGTAAGGAATCAAATCTTACAAAATCATGGAAGACTTTGGTAACGCTGTTGATAATTTCAGGGAAATTAATGAAGTACATATAAGTACTTGATTTAAACATCTATTTTATTCACTAGTTTGAGTATCTTGCCATGGAAGATACTAGCCCAGCCTAGCAGAAAAGTGCAATATGTATAATATTCTTTCGCATTTTAAAAGTTATATTCCCTATCCATTTTGAAAGGCTGGGCTAACTACATGAAGTTACTTGCAATTAATTGACAGCTAATCAGGCATTTTGAAAGCTTGATTGGATTAACTATAGTGTTGAAACTTGATAAAATCGTAATGTTGATTTTTACTGTGAAACATAAACACATCCTAGTTTAATTTTGTGTCTTAGTGTGGATTTACAAATTTACTACAGTTATTCTGAGCTGGGAACACAATCAGATTTCAGGCCAGTTTGATACTGGCTGTACTTAATTCTAACAGGAGAGTAGGACATTATACTAAATGTTATGTCAGTGGGACTGTGTTGTCTGTAGAGCTTGGTAAATTAATCATGTTCTTCAGACTTGAAGGAGAGTGATAAAATTTGGAGTTAGGATATTGATGTACAATTTAAAGATTAAACTTTTTTTTTTTTTTTTTGAGATGCAGTTTCGCTCTTGTTGCCCAGGCTGGAGTGCAGTGGCACTAACTGGACTCACTGCAACCTCCACCTCCTGGATTCAAGTGATTCTCCTGCCTCAGCCTCCCAAGTAGCTGGGATTACAGGCATGCGCCACCATGGCTGGCTGATTTTGTATTTTTAGTAGAGACGGGGTTTCTCCATGTTGGCCAGGCTAGTCTTGAACTCCTGACCTTATGATGCACCCACCTCAGCCTCCCAAAGTGCTGTGATTACAGGCGTGAGCCACCTTGACTGGCCAAAATTAAACATTTTTCATCAATTGTGGAAGGTGGCTTGTAAAACTGCAAGAATAGGCCAGGCATGGTGACTCACGACTATAATCCCAGCACTTTGGGAGGCCAAGGCGGGCAGATCATGAGATCAGGAGTTCAAGACCAGCCTGGCCAACATAGCGAAACTCCATTTCTACTAAAAATACAAAAATTAGGTGGGTGTGGTGGCACGCGCCTCTAATCCCAGCTACTCAGGAGACTGAGGCAGGAGAACTGCTTGAACCCAGAAGGCGAAGGTTGCAGTGAGCTGAGATTGCACCACTGCTCTCCAGGCTGAAAGAATAAAAGTTACCCAAAAAGCAAAAGGAAGAGGGGAGGGGAGGGGAGGGAGAGATGGGGGGGAGAGAGGGAAGGGGGGGAGAGAGAGAGAGAGAGAAAGAAAAGAAAATAAAGAGAAAGAAAAAAGGAAGGAAAGGAAACGAAAAGAAAAGAGAAAAAAGAAAAGAGAAAACAGTGCTCCCAGCAAACAGCATGAACTCAAGGTCTGGAGGTCAGACCTGTGCTCTCAGGCTCCGCTGGGCTCTGAGTCCTGGAGACGTCGATGAGGAAATCAGAGGGACAAACAGAGCTGGGGACGGCGGGGCTGGGGAGAAGGACATCAGCCGTGCGCCTGCTGGCCCGGGGCCGGGGCCGGGGGGCCAGTACGACGACTGACATGGCCAGTAAGAAAAACAGAGCAGCCACAGAGCTGCACGGATCTGACCAAGAAAACCTGGGTCCAGCCTCCCTGCTGCTGACTACGATGCTACACGTGACCTACGGGCTTGTGACCCGCGGGAAATAAGCCAAAATTCCAGGCGTCCCCAGGACCCTGGACCACCGATCGCCTGCTCCCCGCCACAGTAGTTGATGGGGGCTGAACCAAGGCCCAGAGCGCCGCCGTCAGACGCCCAAGGAAAGGCGGGCAAAGGCAGGAGGCCCCGAGGGGCACCGAACCCGCGCCCGCCCTCGCTGGTGCCCCGCCAGCTCACCGTCCACACGCAGCTCCAAGCGCTCGCTGGGCGCGGAGCCCCCAAAAGGCGGCTTCAGGTCCACGTAGACGCAGCTGTAGTTGGCGGAGTCGGCCACCGAAATGTTGTGCAGCTCGAAGAGCGCCTCGGTCCCAGCGGGGCTCTGCAAACGGTGCACGCGGTGCCCGTCCCCGTCCTCGCGCACCAGGGCGAAGCGCACGCCCTCCAGGGGCGCCAGGCACCGCAGCCGCACGCGTGTGCCGGGCTCCGGGTTCCGACTCGAAGGCTCCGCAGTGAACTCCGGCGCAGGCAGCGTCTCTGCGGAGCAGCACGCGGGCTGACCCGGGCGCCAAGCGGATGGCTCGGCCCTAACGCGTGGTCTGGCCTCGCACTCTTTGCTTTGGCTTAAGTCTTTTGCCCGCAATGATCTGGCCAGTTTCCTCCCTCGCCTCCTCCGGCCCCGCCCCACCTTTCCATCCCAGTCCTTCTTGGATATCTCACACGCACGCACCCTTTCACTGTTTCTTAGTAATTTGTCTATAGACACAGACGGGAAGCGGGGACGGGGACATGTTTTGTGCATGGCTTGATGCCTGGTGCACGATGCCGCTCAGTAGTGGATTTGCTCCCCGAGCGTCTTCTGGGCACCGCCCCAATGCCCGCGCCACCGAGGGGCCCCTGTGGTCCGCTGGGCATGGGGTTCGCTGTCCCGTGCTCAGAGTTTGCTAAACACCATCAGGCCCAGGGCAAGCGAGCAGAGAAGCTGCCTCAGGACAGGCCCTCAGTGCCCACGCAGACCTGGCAGCCGGGATGGGACCCTGGCCAGGTGGTGCCCCCTGTGGCCTGGGCCAGACCTGTTCACCCAGTTATTCTTTGTGGGGCCTGAAAGTTGCCAAGCTCATCGTCCCATTGGCAGTTCAGGACCTTTAATGGTGGGGAGAGGGGGCGTGGGGAGGG